ATTGTGTATCCTGATGTGTTAACATTGACAGTGTGTATCCTGATGTGTTAACATTGACAGTGTGTATCCTGATGTTAACATTGACAGTGTGTATCCTGATGTTAACATTGACAGTGTATCCTGATGTGTTAACATTGACAGTGTGTATCCTGATGTGTTAACATTGACAGTGTGTATCCTGATGTGTTAACATTGACATTGTGTATCCTGATGTGTTAACATTGACAGTGTGTATCCTGATGTGTTAACATTGACAGTGTGTATCCTGATGATGTTAACATTGACAGTGTGTATCCTGATGTGTTAACATTGACAGTGTGTATCCTGATGTGTTAACATTGACAGTGTGTATCCTGATGTGTTAACATTGACATGTGTATCCTGATGTGTTAACATTGACAGTGTGTATCCTGATGTGTTAACATTGACAGTGTGTATCCTGATGTGTTAACATTGACAGTGTGTATCCTGATGTGTTAACATTGACAGTGTGTATCCTGATGTGTTAACATTGACAGTGTGTATCCTGATGTGTTAACATTGACATTGTGTATCCTGATGTGTTAACATTGACAGTGTGTATCCTGATGTGTTAACATTGACAGTGTGTATCCTGATGTGTAACATTGACATTGTGTATCCTGATGTGTTAACATTGACATATGTGTATCCTGATGTGTTAACATTGACATTGTGTATCCTGATGTGTTAACATTGACATGTGTATCCTGTGTTAACATTGACATTGTACATTGTGTGTTAACATCCTGATGTGTTAAACATTGACATTGTGTGTATCCTGATGTGTTAACATTGATCAGCAACACATGCTTGTCATAAGAGGCAACAATCAGGATCGGGTGGTCATTGTGTCCCAATTGCATAGGTCTATGCTCATGCTGTTGGTCATTGGATTGTCTGGTCCAGACTTGATTATTTACACATCGCCGACAAATAGCTGGAATATTGCTGAGTGCGGGGTTAAACAAAAACAAAATAAATAAATAAAAAATGATGCAATCGGCAAATGGACTACCTATATCCCACTTTCGGTTCACTGCCATGAATTACCTTGGCTGGGTGAGCATATTTCTAACAAAGACATTTCCTCAAGAAGACAACATGTCAACAATATGTACGTCGGTGTGGGGCAGGACAGAAGTCTCAGGAGTCAAGCTGAAACGTCGGTCATCAATCCTCAGCCTCTGCAGCTGTGCAACGGTACACAGATCCCCTGCAACCATATCATACCAGTAAACCACAAACAAAACAAACAACAAGTCGATGAACTCTTCAAATACATTTTTTCCCATTGTAAGTTGATACAATAACAATTTGAAACAAGGCAGTGATGTAAACACAACAATATCATCTTGGATGATGCACTACAATACTCTACACTTCTACAACAATGTTCGTCCTGTAATCTAAGTTTGCAATCGGCAAGTCCTGCATACAAAATCAAGGCCAGATACTAAACAACACCGGTCCATTCATACATAGGAAGTCAGGAGCTTTTAGAAAAACAATGAAATGTGAATGAAACTCCCATGCTGGAACTCTTCCAGTCCTGATGGAACAAAGTCAAATGCACAAGAAAAATTCTGTCACTAAACTTTCTCTTTTAAAGACAATTTGTCTGTCATATAAATTCTGATCTATAAGATCAATTCAATGCAATACAAAGAGCATATAACATCTAAACACTTTCAATTTCAAACAAGATATTAACACCATATAATTTTATAGCACTATTTTTAGTTTAAAATGGATATTTCATACTGATCCAAACGTGTCATAAACCATTAAAAAGTAATGTTTTATATAAATTTTGCAATTCAATATAATTTTCTCAAAGCGCTGGACAAAAAAGGATCTTCAAAGGGAGATAACTCTTTATGATTACTTCCCCTTAGCTGAGCAAGATGGTGGGGCATTTGATGGATTCTATTTTTCTGGAGCGGATGTGTGGAGTGCTGCTTTTTGTCACAGACAGCATCACAGATGATGAAAGCCTGTGATACAGGTTGCAGTTATTATCAATTTTCAAAAAACACGCTCAGTGAATCCGTAATGAAGGTAAGTTCACAGAGCATCTGTTTTTAATTTTTGTTTAAAACACAACAACAAAACAACAATAAAAAACAAAACAAAAATAGAAAAATACATTCAGCTCTCTGCACATCTTGGGACAATTTACAAACTCACAACTTATTACTAGCAAGGATGAGTTGATAAGTGCTATATCAGATCGTTTAATTTACTAGAACACATTGATTATGTTCCAAAATGTAATAAATTGTTTATTCTGATTCTGTAATAACAAGCGAGGTTGATAAGTAATTGGTAAAATAATCATTTCACATGTGATCATTCAAGGTTACATATCCTTTCCATGCCTAAAACAAATTGAAACTTTATGATTTTAGGTATTTAAATGCAGGCATGGGTTTTGGGAGACAAGCCCATCCAGGATTAAATCTATTGAAATATGACCCATTTCCTCTAAGTACTGCATGACATTTATGAACAATAGTCATGTTTATTAGAATATCTTCCAAACAGAAAATCATTGTACTAGTTTGTTATATATAATCTGGATAGGTTACCCTCTCTCTTTAAAAAAAGACCAAAACAAACCAGATTTTTGTAAACCGAATTTTGATTATGTTTATGCATGATTAGATTTTCATGTCAAGAAAACAAGCTGGCTGTACCATGTACATATCTTATATGACAATTTATTCCAAAGACCATACATCGGTATATGGTCTCTGCATATTCACACAGGGGGGAGATTGAAATTTGAATCAAGAAACATGGACATCATCGTTCCACAACATATATAATTACTGCCACTGGATATCATCTTGCTGAACCTGTAACTTGAATTTTGACCGAAATAATTATTATGTGTCTGTTCACCTGGCCCCGATTTCTCGAAACAAACTTAAGTCTGAGTTTTGACTTAAGTTAGAGTTTTTACTCAAATTTGAGAAAATGCATTTCCCAGATTGAACTGAAATCGATATTAAACTCAAACATAGTAGACAATTTGAGTTTGGTAGATAGATTACTTAAGTTGTTTGGGCTTTTTTATTTTAAAAAATGCAGTTGAGTTAAGAATTCAACTGTTTCAAATTGTCAAACTCAGTTTGAAATTTGAGTAAAAACTTAAGTTTGTTTCGAGAAATCGGGGCCTGATATGTGTTACTTGTCTGTGAGGAGACAAATATAAAATATACAAAGAAGTTAATTGATTAATTGTTCAATCAGTTAACTGTTCAGGGCAAAAACAAGTGAAATTGTTTTGTGTTTTTCTGGTGATTCCCATAATTTTCGAAGTAGAGATGCCTTGTAATACACCAGCCTCCTCCCATTTGATTCCAAAATACATATGAAGTAGGATTTCCCCAATGAAGTTCAGTATGAATTTCCCCATTTCTTGTTCCAGTATTAAAACACATCTAATTTCAGAAAAAATTATGTTAATATGTTTGTATTAACACTTCATCATGAAAAATTATCAGCAGAATACCTTGAAATTTGAGTAAAACAGATACTTAACTTATACCAAATACACACCACACTTATCAACCATTCAGCTTTGCCTGGATTAACTCTTCATTGTAAATACTTATTTCATATATGTTTTAAGTGACACTGAAAAAGATATGAGCAACATGACTCGGCGTATGTCAAACTTCATGGCTCAAGACACACAACATTCTGGAAGTGGCGCCAGTCTCCCAGATATGGGGAAAAAATACTAAGAGTTACCTCCCTTTGATTAAAGAGCATTGCTGTTGGAGACAGAAACGCAGTGTGGCCATGAGGCCTTAATCATCTAGTAAACAGTCACAAAGACACGAAAGCATTTAAACAGCACAGCATCGTTAATCTACAATGAAAAGGTGGGAGTGATGGAAGAAAGGTCTTTAACAACTAATTGAAAATGTCACATTAAACCATGATTAACCAATATTGTGGACAAGACTCGATTTAAATATATTCTAAAATATTATTTCTTAGGCTTGACTTATGGACAGTTATAAAATTGTCAGTTTTCTCTGACAACCAAGTCAAACAAGTGTACCTGGTGAGTCATGGGAATAAGTCTGAAAGTCTGAAGAAGAAATATAGTACCAAAGACCTTCAAGATGTTCCACCATTGCAGGATATGAGAAGCAGTTTGACGAAGAATTAAAAACGAAAATTCATTTGAAACATCTGTTTGAATAATGTGTTCTAATGGCTACACAGAATTGATCTTCAGTAACCCATGCTTGTCACATGCCTCTGTATCCCAATTGCATAGATTGATGCTCATGCTGTTGATCACTGGATTGTTTGGTCCAGACTCAATTATTTACAGACCGCTGCCATAAAGCTGGAATATTGCTGAGTGCGGCGTAAAACTAAACTCACTCACTCTTTGGCTACACAAGAATGAAGGAGCATAATGTCCTAGGATCATGGAGTGAGTGAGTGAATGAGTTTTGTTTTAAGCTGCTTTTAGCAATTTTCCAGCAATATCGACACCAGAAATGGGCTGCACACATTGTAACCAAAAGGGGAATTGAAGCCGGGTCTTCCGCGTGACAAGCGAATGCTTTAATCACCTTGCTACTCCACCACTCCTCTGGGATCATGGAATTGCACTTACATTTCCATATGAGGTGAGGTGGAATTGGGTTTAACGTCGTGCTTGAGAATATTTCGCTCATATGACAACGTGCATAAGTGTGTATGTGTATGTGTAGGTGCGGCTGCTTGTACTAGCCCAGAGTGAAGCTGGTTTTATAGTGCTAGCCCATTCAGACACCATGCCGCAGTGAAGCATGAATACCCCACTCAGACACATTATACTGACTCCGAGCCGACCAATCCTTGTTGTACCCATTAATGCCGAACGCCAGGCAGGGACCAACAAGTACCATATTTTAACGTCTTGGTATGATGCGGTCAGGAATTGCTCTTCGGGCGGACGCTCTAACCACTACACCACGGAGGCGGTCACATTTCCATATAGAATCTTTGTACATGCAACAAGCCATGCAACAAAAGGTTGTCTTATTGATTTCACAGTATCAGGGTTACATGAATAGCAGGATTTATATTCCAGATTTATGAGAACATTTTAATTGTTATTTATTCATAACATTCTGGAATACCTATAGAATACAGATTATCTATCTGTTCACTGGATGCTGTTAAAATGGCAGCATACAGCAGCATGTGACAGTATTTTAAAATAGGTTGGCGACATTAAATTGCGATCACATTTGTTCATCCAGCAGAAAATGGGTACCCAGTGGGATAAAGTTATGTGACTATAACCCTCTAGCGCCTAACAAGCAGCTTGGTTTATATGGGGTAATAATAATCAGATTGTTTGGGCAATTCGACTATGCATTGTGCATGGAGCAATGCGCATGATAAATAGACCATTATTATTATTATTATTGTTATGATTTAGTGACCTGACTAAAAATCTCTGAAATAGGTACTAAGGAAGGGTCTCCTGCTCATTCCTTAGGTGTGCTTGAAGGTATTTGGTACTCAGTATTCCAGTCAATATTTCTTGAAGCAAGACACTTAATACAACCTAGCTTCACAGGTAAGCTATTTGTCACAGAAAAATGGACTTCTTCCCTATGTTAAAACAAACATCGTGTTCCTCTTCTATTGATAGACCTGCCGTGATGTTGCTGGAATATTGCTAAAAGCGGCGTAAAAAAATTCAGTCAGTCAGTCTATTGATAGAGTGAGTGAGTTAGGTTTAACTCCGTACTCTGGTGGAGAGATATGTAATACAGTGACTAATTATGCAATATCATAATCTCATTGTCATAATAATGAACTTCTTAAACTTCATTGGAAGATGGACACAATGAAACCCTGTTAGTCTGGAAACCTGGCATTCTGACCATCCAGTTGGGAAAATGTATGTATTAGTAAAATATACAATACACCATTATTCTTCACCAGTGATTTGTAGAGTGAGTGAGTTTAATTTTCTGCTGCTTTTAGCAATATTCCAGCAGTATCACGGTTGGGGACACCATAAATGGAATTCACACATTGTACCCACGTGGGGAATCAAACCCAGGTCTTTGCGTGACAAGCAAATGCTTTATCCACTTGGCTACCACACTGTCCCTTGCTGACTTGCACAAGATTCACAAGAATTGGGCTGTGTCCAGATTATCAGGGTGCCATTGTAACTTAAACATGAGCGATGAATTATGGACTTAATCACCAGCCATGAAATTGTTACCATGGTTACTGAATGATTTGCAGAATCTAAAGCAAAATATGATAAATTCCATGAATGTGCCTTTTTCAAATACTACAGTTGTCAGCATTATGTGATTTTTTGCCGTATTCAACTCATCACATAATGACCTGATTTGATATATGATGCAATGTGCATCAGATACTAGATATGACCTGAGAACTCACACTTTGACACGTCCAGACCTGATGTCACTTCCTGTGCTAAATATATCACTGAATGAGTTGATCACTTCCTAATACCATTCTAGTCTTTCTCCCATCACTCACACATGCAAATTGCACATTACAGAAAAATCTAGTTCCACAAGGAACCCTATGTCATATAATCCGGTGGTTTTATGTTCTTCCCTGCCTGGATTCGAGTCACCCTATCCCAGACGAAAGGCAACTGGTGACGAGCCTCCTGCTTAGCTCCAGTCTTCTTGGGAGTTTCTGACACAACCTCCTTGTCTGCTCTTTTGCCACTATTGTTTGCTGACACGGGAGTATCTCGCTTCTCCTCCTTACCACTGGATTGAGCACAAGGATCTTTTACTTTTGAATTAGCACCAGAAGATTGGTCCAACTTTGGAACTTTGGACTCTGACTCTGGGTTTTCACAAGATTCTTTTCTCTTGCGATGACTTCCAAATTTTTTATGTCTGTAAAAATTGGCCTGCATGTCCTCACCTTCTGCAGGTGATGCCAAAGGTCCTCCATCTTGGGTGCTTTCTATTGAAAGCGACCTTGACTCGGATGATGAACACCTTTCTCCTGAAAAGCCAGAATCTTTATCGTCTTCCACATGGAGATACATGAACTCCTTAGCTTTGGAATCAACACAGTTTGAATCGTTGTTTTTTTCATTGCTAGCCTGGTCCTGCTTGGGCCTAGAATCTACACTAGTGTTAGAGTCATGAGGACAGGTGGTCTGAGAAGTGGTAGATGTTGGATGAGTGTAGTCAGATTGAGACGGCTTGTCACTACTGCTATCAGGACTAGCACTAACAGTTATTTGATCTGCTGGTAAGCGTTGAACCTCCAGATTTGGGTTGGGAACAGGTTCCGAGAGGAATTTGTGAAACTCAGGGATAGATTTACCAACACCAGAATCTATCCTTGATCTTTGAGTGTGACCTTCTGGAGAGGTAGGATTTGAAATACTGCTTGAGTGAGGGTTCTTGGCTTCAGAAGGCTGTCCATCTGAACACATTTCTTTATAATGAACTGACTGTACATGTTCTTCAAGGGCTAACGCTGAGAACTGGCAACCACAAAACCTGCACAATCCCACTCTTCCAAGGTGCTTATCATTCTGTTCCAGTCCAGCGGAAGAGTCACTCATTTGACTTTCAGTACCAATAAATGGTCCTGGCGGCCTTGCCTGGTTGTGCTGACGACAATGACGCTTGTATGACCCAAAATCATTGAGCTGAAATGTTTGATTACACTGTTGACACTGAAGATACTTTGTATCTTCACAGTCTTCCCGAAGGGAACTTTTTGGACGACCATCACTGGCACGTCTGTATGCCCTGGCTTTGCTATTGTTCCAGTCCTGCTGGGTCTGCTGACTTGGGGAGACACCCCTTGGGTCCAGTGGAGACAAGCTTTCCTTCTTGCCCCTGTAGAAGTCAGAACCTGGCGTAGAAACAACCTCCCTTTCAGGTGGTGCTGAACTTCGTCCCGTCGGGATCAATGGCTCTCCTTGATGATCTTGTGGGGTTAACACATAAGGACTCTGCAGTGCTGATTTAGTTGCTGAGATTGTTTGGACAATCGTATGCTCAGCTCTTGGCTCAAACCCATGTTGATTTCTGAAGTGTTTCCGAAACCCATAAGGACTGCCATAGGTTTGTCTACAAAGCCGACAAATGAGATACAGGATATCATTTGGAGGATGGTTTCCAATGATACTTTGGATGGGCTCATGCCTGGACACGCTGCCTTTCCTCTGAGATAGGTCCCCTTTTTCTGATCCTTGTGGAGATGCTAGAGGTTGGGGCGATTCCCTGAACTGATGAGTAGGAGTCTGAGACAGATACGTAACTGATGTTGAGGTTTTAGGTGATAACTTTTCCTGAGTCATTGAAGGGTATGGAGCTGGACCTTGAGCATGTGAAATGGAAACCTGATTTGCTGGTCTGACTGGTGAAAGGGCTGACATTGTAGAAGGAGCTGTTGAGAATGTTGGTGCTGGAATAGGATGAAGCTGAGGTCTGTGCCCACCGGGTGACATCATCATACCTGACACAACTGTTGGTGCCATTATAGCATTGCCAGGAGTATCACCACCTCCTCTGTCCATTGGCATCATGTCTTTCCGTGGGTAGCCACAATGGGTCTGCTGGAAGAGCTTGTCTACACTGCTCTCCAGATGCTGCAGGTGGTGGTTACCACGACCACTGTAGTCTCCTTGACCATGGACAGTTGCACCACCTTCTCTATGTACAACATCTCTAGGCACACTAACAGGATTGGAAGGCTTTTGGGATAAATCAAGGGGCTGATCATTATCCGCTATATCTGGTCCCGGTTGAGCAATAGGAACACTCTCTGGTATTTTAACTGTGAGATCAAGAACTGGTGCCTGGGGCGAGGCATACCTGTCCCCTCTTCCTGGATGTGGAAGGGAGACGTTCGGTTTGTGGGGATGCACAACATCCTGCCGACTTCCAATACTGGCAACAGAGGGCTGGCCATGTCTACCTGGCTGCTGAACGTTTTCAGTGCTTCTTGGGAAATCTTTGCAAGGGTATGGGCCTCCTTCGTTGTGATGATAAACGTCTTGCCTTGCATGAGAGTTGCCTCTGTCTTGTCTTCTATCAGACTTTGCCATTTCTGGATTATACCCATCACCAACCATCTGTACTCCATGACTTAGAGTAGCAGCGTATGGCAAGGGTTTAATTGGCTGAACTGGATACTGAATCATATTTGCCATGTGAACTGCACTTGTGTTGGGAAATTTGCTGGGGGATGTCGCTTGCATCCTTGCCATATCTTGCTTTACCATCATACCTTGACTGTGGGGAGGTTGAACTGGCACTTGGAGGTGATTCTGGTAGAAAGACGATTCAGCCTGTGACATTGGCATATTCATCATCGGGGATGCACTGCTGGCTGACGGCTTGCTTTGTTTTGCAGATTTGTCTTCGTATTGGAAGAATGTTCGGCAACTTATACATCGACAGTTTTTACTGGGCATATGAGGAAAAGAGGAAGGATCATTCTCTGAAGCTAACACACCATCAGCCCTCATCAGAGGAGGAGGAAAAGCCCTTGGCGGCATGTACATTTGGTGGCCACGCAACATGTACATCTGAGCCTTTGGTAGCATCCCCTGACGAGGGATTGCACCATTCAGGTATGGAGCTAAAGCTCTTGGGCTGAAACGAGCCATCATTGCTTCATTTTGCTTTGCCATTGTCGCATACTTACTAACAGAGTATCCAGCAGGTTCGTACTGCTTTGGGTCCTTAACCTTATCCACGGGCATATGTTTTGGGTGTAGCCCATGGTGACTGTCTTGTTGATGCTTCTGGGACCAGTTTCTATGTGCTTCAGAATGTCCATCAGAGTGAGAGCTGGATCCTGCATCAGAATACCTGGAAGGGGATTTGCTAGCACCAGGCACAGGTGACCGATGATGTGGACGTTCATTATCCCGAGGATGTTCATGGGGATAGCCTTTCTTATTGTCCGTAGCAGTACCATGATTCTCTGCTAGGGCCTCATCTGAACTGCTGGGGGACAATAGTTTACTTATCACTTCAGTTTGACTAATGACTCGGTCAACAATGTCCTGCACACTGATAGTGCCATCTAAGCCAGCATTACCAGATACACTAGTGACAGGTTTGCCTTGAGTTATTGACCCACTACTTGTGCTTGTTGTTTCTTTAGGAGCACTAATTGTTACAGCTGGTTCAGGGCTAGTAGTGGACCGATCCTCGTTGACAAAGCTCTTTTCCAGAACTCTTTCAATGTGATCCATTAGACAAACCATATTGTTTTGCAAGTTCTCCATTTCTGGACTTCTTTTCTTTTCCCTTACAGTGGACACCACTGACGTGTTCGTGGACGATGGAGTTGACACTGTCATGGGTGCCTCGGTAACAGGAGTGTTCTGAGCAAGGGATTTCATGGAAACTTGACTTTTGTGGCTTATATCTGGGAGAGAAGAATTCATGTCCTCTCCCAGCGAATTATCTAACACTTTGTCTATCAAAGTCTGCAGTCTCACTGTGTTTTTAGGAAGATTGTCATCCCTCTTGAGAGACTCATACAAGCTCGTCTAGTAGAGGTCTGGCTCTTCTCACTGGTCAGTGGCTTGGGGTCAGGTTTGCAACTGACAGCCAGGTCAACACTGGGTATCTGATTTGTCACCTCTTCAGTTGTGTCACTCTTGATCATATCGACAATACGATCCTTCATGAAACTGAACACAACATCAACAGGCTGGCTTCCCCCGTCTCGTGCCGCTGTCTGTGGTGGACTGGTTTTCGCCTTGGTTTCCTCGGAATCCTTTTTTGAGTCTTCCGTCTCAGACTCATCTGATTTGACTCCAAGGCATGACTCTATCAGAGAGTCGATAGCAGCCCGAACTGAATTGTTCTTCATGTCAGAGTCTGTTGATGAATCTTGTCCTTCGTCGTCAATCTTTCCACTTGTATTCTCCTCCCCAATGCTTCTACGGTTCCTTGTTCGTCTCTTGTATTTGCACTCATTAATGGATTTCCTTCCATTGAGGCGTTCTGTCCCATTCTTTGCTTCAGGTACTGCAAAGAGAAAGATTAAGACTATAAATACCATGTGCAAACATAGCAGGGAATACATATAAATATTACTTACACATTTTCATATTTTAGGTTGGTCATACACATTTTCATATTTTAATATGGTCATGGGTCCCATTTCACAAAGCTATCATAGCTCTACGACTCGTATAACTCCAGGGCCTAGATTTTCGAAGCTCTCTTAGCGCTAAGATAGTCGTAAGTTAATGTAAATGTATGGCACTTACGACTATCTATCTAAGAGAGCTTCGAAAATCTAGGCCCTGTACTGTAACACAGACTTACGACAGACGTAACGATAAGATAGCTTTGTGAAACGGAACCCAGGGTGCCGTTGTACAAAACAACTTTAGCACTAAGACTACCTTAAGTCGATGTTAGGTATTGGAGTTACGGTCACCTTAGCACTAAGACCACTTTTTACTAACGGCACTCTGGTTACTAAAGGAATAAACTACAAAATTGCAGAATCTATAAAAGATCTCATTATGTCTGTAGTTAAAGAATGGACACCCATAACTATCGAAGGTCGAGTTGTGCCCACCTTCATCTGCCCCATATACAAACATACTTTAACATACACACAGACCCTTCAGAAGAATATGCCCAATGTTATTGGACTAAAACAGAAATATTTCATGCTTCTACTTCTATAAACACTTCTGGTTTATTGGCCATCACCTTCATTGGACATCATAGAAATATCATGACTTAAGACCCCCTCTGAACACATCTTTCTTTTAAAGTCCCAATATCAATGGCCAAGACCTCATATTGACACAAACCTTCACTTTTTGACAATGTCATCCAAATACGAACAAGAACATTGTGTGCTACAATCAAAGTAGTGATTAGGAGTTACAATTGAACATGGTTTTTTTCCATGAAGCCTTCAAAAAGTTTCTAAAAAAAAATTCTGAACATTGGTTATGGCATATAAGGTTTTAGTAAGGAACCCATGAAGAATCCAGTTTAGAATTGGAAAACCATTCTTGTCACAAGAAATGACTACTTGGATTGGATGTGGTAACGGTCATTACATAACATTCAGTCCTACCAATGTAATAAACCCCTTTAGGGAGTCAAAATTGCTCCGATTATGATCATTGGTTTGTAAACATCATACCCACGGACTCGTGAAGAGCCAGTTTGGAACTGGTCTTCAGCAACACATGCTTGTCATAAGAGGCGACTAACAGGATCGGTTGGTCAGGTTCACTGAGTTGGTTGACACATGTAATCGTATCCCAATTGCGTAGATTGACACTGATGATGTCATTAACTTGATTGACGGGCTTAGACTGTGCTATTTACACACTGCCGTCAAAAAGCTGTAATATTGCTGAGTGCGGCGTAAAACTTAACTCACTCACTCATTGATATATCTCCCAACTGTTTTCAATCGTAAATCAAAAATGAAAT